AGTGCAGTCTTGATTCCACACGCCCATTCATCGTAATTGGTCCCCTTCAACAACGGATGGGAGATTACGGCACCGGGATTGTCAGCAGAGGTCAGATCGTACGGTGAGATTTTTCTTCTCACTCCGTTGGTCAGGTTCACGGCTGGATTGCCGTTCAGATTCTCCTGGTGTTCTTCGTCAGCCATCGTTGATCGGAAAAACAAAGAAAAGACGCTTTTTGTTTTTATAAGAGAGCTTCAAGCTCTGATACCATGAAAGAACAGAGGTTCAGAATTTTCTGTATTGATTTGTGAAGAATTACATACATCATTATATACACGAATGAGCAAGAATCTTTACATATCAGATCATCACAATTTAGGAAACAATATATTTACAGAACTGATCTCGTGGAGAGTCACGGATCTTATGGGATGATGATAGCGATCCCACAGCTTTAGGCCCACGTTTAGTATAACCAAGAGTAAACCATCATGAATTGAAGTAAACCAACATTGATCAGCTAAACCGGAATGTATCTCCAACAGTCATGTTCCTCAAACTACCATTTGTCTTTTTGATCATCTCCTAGAAGTAGAAGGTGATGATCAGGTTGCATCTTCCAATATGCAGTACTATGAAGTTATCTTAGGAGACAAACAACATTAGAACTCCACTTACTAATTTGAAATGTAGCACTTAGCAAAAAAATTTGAAATGTAGCGTTGTCCGAATTTCATTAGCAAAATTTCGTGATGTCAATATGGACATGAAATGGGTGATGGACAACGGTGAGCATATAAAGGTGATTGCAACCCCACGATAGAAGATTTCAAATCAATTATTGTCGAGATGGGAAATTAAAAGTGGTGTAATTTGATCTTTATGGAATTATTTGAGTATATTCATCAGGATTAGTAGCCCTAACTTAATTAGCTTAAAATCCCAAAAGTAATGGTCGTGCTTAATTTTTTGCCACTATAGAATAAAGTTTAGGTACTAACTCCAAAAAAAAAAAAAACTTTCCTTTTGCTACTAACCAATCAATTACCTTTCCTTGGGAGAAACACCATCTCAACCTCCTCGTGGCACTTGAACATGTGATTGTTATATGCATATAAAGGTTTAAACAAGGACTACACAAACTCACCGGTCAAGGCCAGGGCCAGCGCAGAGGGCAAGTCACTGAAGCCATCGATTTGGGCCTCAAAATGTAAGGGCCTTTTTACTTAAAAATTTGTCAAGTTTTCTTATATACAATAATTTTTATAGGTCATTTTAAAAATATTGTGGGTGTTTAGAGACAACTACAACATTCTTTTTAATGGTAAAAATCTAATTTAAAAGAATTTTTTTTTTATGGACTTTAATTTTGCTTAGGGCACCCAAATTTATCAGGCCGGCACTGGTCAAGGCATCAATGAGTTGCTTCTAATCAGCTTCAAAGATGGCTTATGTGGAAAAACTGTTCAAAGCCAGAAATTAGTTATTAACAAATTATAGCTAGCATATGTTAGCCATAAACGAGACACAAGACTATGTCATGGCCAGTCATAACAAATTTGTGCCTAATTAGCTACAAAAACAATTATGGCTAGGGCTTGATTGGTTCTTTCGCTAGCGGTTGTTAGAGGTTGGTACCAAACATAGAAACTGCTATATACCGCTTTGAACCGTTCAAAATCGCTAGATTTCAAAAGCTCTTTTCCGTAAGTGTTTGCGGTTGCGGACGGTAGCGGTTGGATTTAAAAAAAAAAATCAAACGTTTACTTATAATTATTATAAGGGAGATTGACAAAAATAGCACTAAAATAAGTTTTTCTTCCAAAAATAGCACAATATTTGAAAAGTTCCACAAATAGCATTCTAAACTTTAGTTAAATATTAAATATGAATAATCAACATTTCCCCGCAAAAGCAAAATTGGTTGGCTGTCTCAGTAAAGATGCATCAGAAACTGGGACTATAGCCTTTCTATCAGTTCACGAGCTGAGGATGACATTCTTCCTCCATTGAAGATATTCATAAACACTAAAAAACGGGGAGTTTGTTTTAGCTCCTGATAGATTCAGAACATGTATGGATCAACTTACTGCGGTTAGGCGAGATAGCATAAGGCTTTAAAGCCATCAGGTCTTTGGAATCTCGAGAGAGAGCTAGTGCGTCTCTACCCTCCAACAGCCTCAGAGCAAAATCTGAACATAAATATGAATCATTATTAATTATGCATGAAGAGTGATTAAGTAATTGAAAACAACTAATACTAATATATATATTACATGTGTTAAGTCAAATCTATATATACAATAGGAGAGTCTTCTCTGCATCTAGCATATTCACCTAAACATCCACCTAAGCAATACTATTTATTTTACATTAAAATAAACTTAAGACATTCATTTAGTGCATATTTATGTTAATATAATTATTAAAAAATAATAAAAATAAAAAAAAAAACGAATTATATAATATAAGTGAGATGTTAAAATAACAAAAAGAATACTATAATTTTTTTATTACTGGTAATATTGTAATTCGATTTTTAACAGATAAAAATTAAAAATGACCATACTTCAAAATTTTAAATGTGTTAATGAATTTTATAATAGAAGTAAATTTTAAACTCATGGTAGAATAAAACTAAATTTGTGTAATTCTATATGTAAAATTAAAAACAAAAAATAAATTTGATAGTAAAACATTAGTTTCTAAGAACAATATACTACATATTTTTATTTATTATTAAATTTTTACTTTTAAAAAAATAAAAGATTACTAAATTCAACTTAAATTTATAATTTAAGACGAAAATATTGTAAGAGTCACACTTTATCTTTTGAAGTTGTAAAAAAAATCTTGAAAATTTTAAAACGTTATCATCCATCTTTAAAAAAGAAATAATCAATGATCATATTATTCATGAGTTCTACAACAAAATATACAAAAAATGATTTGGAAACCGTTAAAAAACTGATATGTAATTTGTATAGCATATTCTTAATTGGAACTACAACTTGATCAATAAAAAAAACACAAGTTTTATATTTCAGCATTTGAGTCAAATGCTTTTAACCCAAACAATTGAGTACTAAAAGAGAGTAATTAAGGAATTGAAAATCATTTCACAGTCCAATATATTGTATCCAATATATTGTATGTGAGTTAACAAAAGGTGAAAAGAAAGTAGATGTCGAGAGGCAACGATTGCATCATAAAAGAGGACAAAAAATTGGTAGTTAAAAGTGCTTGAAAATAAATTTCTGAAATTTAGAGAGATAATGCATATGACTAAGGTAAAATCTTTGAGATCTCATTCATTGTGTGAAACGAATGGGTTCTTAGAAAATATATTAAACAGATTATTAGATTTAAAGTTGTGCTTAATCGTTTGGCCATGTAATCATTGAAAATGAGATAAGATATGCATATTGATGACTTAGTCGAGAATTCTCTTATGGCACGTTGCACTTGCTTCGATGGGTAAAACAAGTTCGCTAAAGCGGTTCTACCAACATGGTATTATAGATATACCTTTACACTAAATAATGTTCATGAAATTCGGTATATTCGCATTTCATATGGAATTATGTTATGTTCATATCAACATCTAATCATAAATAATATTTACAATTACAACAATCGATAATTAACGTCAAAGCTTTTTAAGAAATATCATCATGGAATATGAATAAGAAATAAACTATTTTAGAGATAAATGATCATTAGATGGTCTTCGACACCGTTTATTTTCCTGCAAATTTTTAAGTGATTTTTGTTAACACGTGATATATCTCAAACCATTTATTTGTCAAAGAAACATTATAGTCGATAATATATATGTTGTATACCGCTTCGTAAAATAAGTTTAGAGTTTATATAGATCTATATTTTAAATTTTGAATTATTACATTTATGCTCAAATATTTTTTAAAATTTTAGTGATTATATTTTATGCTTAAAAATATATATTCATAGAAGAAATTTTAGATTAAAATTACAAAATCTGGTGCTGATAACTATATAGAGTAATAGATTGGACCATAATGACAAAAGAAGAGGATTTACGTACCAAACAAATTAGAGCATATGCTTTTCCAACATCCCATTGTTTAACAAGTTGAAGTTTGTTCTCTCGAAGAGAAATGAAACTGTTTCCATATGCCCAAAGATGATTGCAGTCAGCAGAGGAAGTTGTCCGTTATTCCCACGAATTTGTACAAGATCAGGGTTCCTGGCAATCACATCATCTGAACAATCTTTGTAGCCCCTATTTGTTTCGAAGAGCCAAATCATTCCTCTGCATCCTCTCCAAAAGATTTCTGACAAATGCTACACGATTCGCTGACGATGCTATATGCAGAGGCGTCTCCAAATTGATAGTAATGGATGAGCGAACTATCGCGTTGCAACCATCAATTATTATCCTCCAGTCCCCTTTTATTGCAACACATGTATTGAAGAAAAACGCTGTGAAACACACAAGTAAATGAAGTTAAATTAGAGGAAAAATTGTTGAAACTCTTTCCTAATCTGTCAAAACAAGCTTAGATAAGGAAAACCTCTTAGACATATACTATTATCAGATCCATTTTAGAACACTGCTACTAGTATATAAGACACTTGAAAAATTCATTCCTTGGACATACCTATACTATTATTAGATGCCAATTGAAAAAGTATCAGTATTTAAGGCAAAGCAATTCCTAATCACTGTACTAGTTCAATGTGGTTCCTTCTTGAGCAAAATATACTTCTCCTAAGTGTCCTTCTCTTTATGTAATCTTCAATTGTCAATATCTGTTGGTCTAAGGGAGAGTTAAAATGGAATAATTCACTGTTAAAGGGTGTATCATAGTAGTTCAATGATGACAAAGAAATCAAGATCAGTTGAGTGTTGACAGGTTCAAGCTCACCTATCTATGGTTATAGTTTGCAGATAAAAGAAAGAAAGTTTTCAGATTTGGTTCAGAGGCTTAAGGTGTTGGTAAAACACTGATCGTATAAGTTGCAGGTTTCACAAGTTATAATGGAGCATCTCCCATCCACAGGATATAAACTGGTGTAAAGAAGTGGTATGCATATTTGATTGCCTAGCCTAGTGGCTAGTGTAATACTATTGCATAAGGTTTGATATGTGATATCACAGAATTTGAAAGAGCTTAAGGTCTAATCGAGTATGTACATTGTATCGATTTGCAAAACCGTATCAGTAAAAGAGATGATTTATACTTAAGAACTAAATTTCACATATTGAATAGTAGGATTTGAAACAGAGAACTATAAACAGGTTTCACCTCTTCTTTCGGGTAACTATTCCACAGATTATCAACAGTTATGTAAGTGGCATCAGCTGATGCTTCATCTAAGCCAGCAAAGATCTCGTCTTTCCCGTGCAATAAATATGGCAAAAGATCCTTTTCACATTCTGCAAAAGAAAAAGAACATTCAGGAAAGTTAGGATCTAGAGAAATGAACATATCATATAGGTAGGTAAAGGAATTTACCATGGGTTTCAACAGCGACCTCGTAATATTTGGCTTCAAGGTTTTTCAAAAGCTCCTCAGTGGTTGCTTTTGTGTCTATCTGATAACTCTGTATCAGCCTTACTAGCATCACGCAAACCCAAACTCCGTTCCCATACACCAAAACCATTGATGTTAAACAGCATCCGTATAGCTACAACAATAATAGACATGACACATACACGGGTGGGAAGCCTGAGCTCGTTCTTCGACAGATATAACTCGCTAGGCATTGACCAGTTCTGTAAGAGACGCACCTGCTCAAGAACCTTATCCTCGGAATAGACAACCGCTTCAGATAGTTTGAAGCTATACCACAGAAATTCACAGGAGGCAAAAGCAAACCAATGATATCAGCAATGGAAGCGGCTTGAGCCTCTAAACTCTGAGCAGAAACAATCTGACTAGGCCTAAACATTACGCTTACAGACACAGGACATGCAGCTGCTCTGTCTCCCATTTTCTCTCGAAAGAAGAAAGATACGGAATCTTTTCTTCTCGTGCCCATCTAACTATATCCGTAGGTAGAATTGATGAAAAAGTGTATTTTTGTTTTATAACAGAGTGTTTTACACACACACACACAAATAGATCACTATACAAATACTCGTACCAATTAAAAGCAAATGCAACGAGACCGACTTAGTTCTTGATTCCTATGTGCACATCTTAAGGCTAAGTGAGCTCCAAACAAAATCAAAGAATGCTGCACTAACACTGCCACAATTTTTCTTCAAATCTCTACATGCGCTGCTTCGGTCTTTAGACTCGAATTGGTAAGCCGTAGTTATGGAACACTCTGATCATACCGTCCCAAGTTGCTGTCACAATCACAAGCCCCCACAGGTGAGGCGTCGAGCCATTAACGTTCTGGCACACACTCTTTAAGAGCCTCAACTTGGATCTGCTGCTGACTGTTGCTGAGACCGCTGCTGCAGCCGAACCTGCTACTACTTCAAGCTTCTCTTCCGGCCATGTAGTTGCTCCTTTCATTGGAGAGAAATAGTCCATGGGAGCCGGGAAATGAGCAAAACTTTTTTCCAAATCGGCTATGATAGTTTCCTCCTTCCCCTGGCCAAGCCAAGGTATGGCCACAGACACATTTTGTGAGAGAAATCCCTCATAAGATCTGATGGTCTTTGGTTTCTGAGAAGACGCCTTTTTGTTTGGTTGAGAGTAGTCCCAAACATGAATGCCTGAGTCTTCTATTGTTGAGACAATGTGTTTCCCATCAGACGTGAATGAAGCAAATGTTGGACTCATCAGTGTTGTTCGAAGACTTGAAGCTGCAATATATCAACCAAATCAATAACAAACAAATTCACAGCAGCATTCACATATCTTGAAGAAACTTGATTAGGACCTTTTTTAAGCTTGCAGATTGTATCCACTCCGCTTATTATTCGGAGTTGAGAATCAGCAGAAGTAACCATCACTTTGTCCGAATCACCAGGAAAAAACTGAAAACCGGTGATTCTTTTGTTAGGAACCTTCTTCTTCCCATGTAAACTGATCTCTCTATCCAGTTGCAGCTGGTTATCTGAGATTCAGAAGATGATTCAGATATCAAAACACAGATGATTCTAGTTGCGGGTTTGGTAGTTCGCAAAGTAAAAACATACCAGTTGTATGGTAAAAGCGACATTCGCCAGTCATAGAACCTACAACAGCACCCTTAGCATCAGGGTAATAGCACAAGGCTGTAACAATCTCTCTTATATCTGTATAGTTAACAACTCGGAAATGAGACACATCCCATATACGAACTATGCCATCAATCGATCCGCTTATAAAGAAATTGTCATCCACAGGATTAAATGCCACACAAGTCACTGTAACAAGGAAGAGAGAGTGTGCTTAATTAGACATACCAAAAATAGCATTGAAGAAGACAAATCGCGGAAGAAACTAACCAAAACTCTTATGAGAGAAAACTCTGATACATTCATCAGAAGAACCAACTCGCCACAATCGAACAGTCTCGTCCACTGAAGATGACAGTAGAAACTACAAAACATTCACAAGTTGTTAGTGCCATCATCTCATCTTAACATAAAAAGACAGTATCGTTTTAAAAAAAAACAAAATCAGTAGTAATTTACCCCTTTCTCCGACCAAGAAAGATCCAAGATTTCACCCGTATGTCCTCGGAACTCGTGCTGAGGGGTTTCAGATATACTGAAGACTTTTGAGGGCAACACAGCGCAAGTCGATTCTGACTTCTTCCTCAACAATCTTCTGCTCTTTTCGATCTTCTCATTCTCAGTCTTGAGAGGCTCAATCTGTGACTTGTCATTCATTCCAAAGTAGACACAGCTTGAATCAGACTCCGCCACTTCAAACTCGTTGTCTCTTCTCTCATCTTCTGTTATATTCCACACTCGCACAACACAATCTTCACCAGCACTAGCTAAGTACTTCCCATCATGCGAAAACTTCATAACTACAATGGATCCATCATGCGCAGAGAACTCCTGTCCAATACACAGAGACGAAAGCTCCTTGAACTGCTTTTTAAAAGATTGAACTCTAGTTAATTGCCTCCGTATCGATGATCCCATTGACTCACCATTGGTGCACTCTTCAGTTTTGTCAAGAATATGAGTTAACACACCTAACTTCTTTATCCACCCTCTAGCTCCTTTTTTAGGCGATTCTTCATAATGACTCATTGGAGAGTTCTGCAGATCTCCGTAGCCATCAGACCTATTCGAACCAGATTCACTCAATCCCTCAGCAATGCTACTGCTATTACTGGAATAATCTCTTGTCAGCAAAATCTGATCATCAATATTCTTGGCACGATTCAGAAATGCACCTCTGAAACTAAATGCCTCAGCCAAAGAAGAAGTTGACATTGATGAAACAGAGGATCCAGAGGAAGTAGATTCATTCCTCAACAACTTCTCCTCCTTGTCTTCCTCCTCATGATCAGTTTCAGACACAGAGTTCAACTGTTTCGAAACCGGAATATGGTCGGAACTAGAGTCTCCCAACAGATCAAGATCAAGATCAAAGTCTCGTTTTTTGAAACTAAAACCCATAGATTGAAAAAACTTTTGTCGACGGTTGGTAACACTCTCTGGATTCATAGTCCAGAGATCTATATCACCAGTTGCTTGAACAAATTCATCGGCGACTTCAGAGTTACAATCAGAAACAGATGAAACCTCTTCACGAGCATCACAAAACCAATCTTCCTCTTCCTCGTTCCCTCGAGTACCCATCACAGCTTCTGATCAAAAACACACAGATTTCGTCATAAAAGTCAAAATTCAGAGCAAATCGGACAAAATTGTTTTAAAAGGACAGAAATTTGCAACCATGGTTCGAATTAAACAAAACTACGCTTAACACCAAAGGAAGTAGTAAGATAAAATCATCGCAAATCAATACCATCGGCAAAAAGGAGATTACTTTAGAGTAAAGCAAAGAACCCATTTCGTTAGTTCAACAATACAACATTCAACAGAGAAAACGAAGAGTTTTTTTAGAAATTTACTTACATATCTTCAACAAAACCAAACCGTTTGAATCAAAGTCTTGCTCTTTCCTATATATAGTCTTTGTCTGGTTAAAACTATTGCATAGAAACGAAGGGGTTTAAAACTCTTGCGTCGATTCGGGTCACGCTCTTTTAAGTCGCATCTCCTTGCGAAGGTTTATAAGAAAAAGGTTTGATTTTTAAGAGAAAGAGATTTGGAGAGGTTTAAGAGCGATATTTTCGGAAATTGAGAGTTTTGTTTCTTCGATTGTACGAAGAAGAAGAGAGGAAGAGAGAAACAAATTTAACGAACAAAGATCCTTTCCTTCTTTTGTCTTTTTCTTCTCTCTCGTTTTTTGCTTTTAAAAACAAAAAAAAACACTAATTTTGAAATGGTCAAATATTGTTTGCACTTACTTAGTCAACTTGAATATTATAATCCTACTTTTATTTCAATAATCATATGTTGAAGTTTCTTTCTTTAATAGTATTTTTTACGTGGAAGCCCCCTTGGCCCATTGGTTGACTAAGGGTTAATTAATGCTTCAACACCAAGAGGTATGGGGTTCGAGTCCCAGATATTGCGATTTATTAATAAATTTGCAGATTAAAGGAGGCAAGTGTGCAGGAGATCTCCAGCGAAGTACAATTATAGCCGTTCGCCAGGATTCTACGCCGAGAGAGAAGTGTCGTCAGGTCATGGATCATTGAAGGTGTCCGTCAAGAGCGTGGAGAATGAAGTGTCGTCTGTCGTGGATCTAATAAGGGTCGGAAGGAATTGTCCGTTGTAGAATCGTCTATGTAACAGTTCTCATAATTTGCAATAAATAATAAATATAGACGTCAAAAAAAAAAATAGTATTTTTTACTTTTCTTCTCTAGATTTGACATAAATGAAATTATACTACTTCTTGATTTACGAAAATTGATCATTCTCATTTGTATTTTTCTCCCACATTTTGATTTGGTCATTGTTTGTGTTTTGTTATTGCCTATTGATATATGAACAAATGCTAGCTATTGTGTGAGTCAATTCAGATATATCATATATGTGACCCACCTATTCACTAAACAATTAGGAACGAGGTGATAACTCAGGGCACAAATGGACGAATTTTTTAAAATAAAAATTCCCTATTGTTTTAATTTGGTTTTATGTGTCATCTAATTATTATTATTCATTGACACACTTATTTTTATTGTTTTTAGGTGGTGGGAACACGATTTTGTCAATTTCCCTACATTACCTCACGTGTGCGAAACTGTATTTTGTTACTAACATAATTCATCAACAACAACAACAACAAAAAATCATCTGTTTACACATTTAATTTATGGTTTTTCGTACTTATTTAGATTATGTATCCAAAAATAGTAAAAGAAAAGCTTCCACATGTCATTGGTGTGAGAGTTTTTCAAGGATTCGAGCACCCATCACGACCTATGTTGCATGTAATAACTAAACTGTGTCATTGCTTCATTTCACTGGTCTTATTCACATTAACCAGTTTCTTTCTCGATTCTCGTAAATTGTACTACATTTTATTTCTCTTGTAAGGAGGTTCGTTCTTCTTTTTTTTGGTTAGTGCATATAGCCAAAAGTACTTCTCGCTATATGCACTATAGGAGGACCTTTTTCGAGAAGATATTGTCTCTTAATTACTTCTCGCCTTGGTAACAAAAATACCACTAGTGCCACATTTCAAATCATGGGTTCTTCTTTTATCTCAAGAAAAAACTTTGGGTTGAATAGCTGTTCGATTTCACATCTTAATAATCAAGAATCTATATGTCCAAAACGGTATATATAAATAAATCTTCCCCAACTATTCATTCAAACCCTAGATTGCTCGCTAAACAACTTTCTGTTGTAACCAGTTTTGGGATTATACAAATAAGAAACTAAGACAACCATATAAGATATCAAATATGAATTGATTAGAAGCCCCAAACAAAGAGTAGAAAGGTTTGAATAAGCGATGATGGGATGTGACCAAATAACACATTTTTTTCTCCGGTTGGGATTCGATGTCTGTATAGTACAGACATGTTGAATGACGATGGCATTTGTTGTTGGATTCCACATTCCAAATACTTGATTCGCATTATACACAAACCTTTTTCTTTGTTTTCTCAAGTTTTTCATTGGTCTCCATTGATTCCAAATATGCGGACCTTGTGCATGTGCGGGAATTTCGCGACCACCATGACAAATACGGCCAGTGTGTTGAGAAAGAGCATCGGGTGCTGATAGTCTGTTGTGTGAGAGGCAATCAAGTACCTACATGCAAAGTTTGGTCAGACTTTTAGGTCACAACGATCCAATCATTGATTACACAGCAATTGAGGTATTCCACTACACAATCTAGTAGTGCTTCTTTTAAGAGAGATTCAGCAATCTTACAACAGACCTTAATTATGTCTTGTATAAATGTCTAAAGGACATTGCAAAAAAAACCCTAAATCCAAGGTTCTTGGGCAACTAGTTAAAGAATCCTAAAAGCAAAGTGATATCAATCGTAATAGGGAACTGAGATCCTATAATCAGTGAATAGATAAGCAACACTTTTGAAGCAAACTCAACAAACAGAATTTCAAAATAAGGAGAATGTAAGGGACTTGTGTATATGCAAGAATATTTGATAGTCATGTCAAAATGTACACTTAGTTATGCCAATCAAAATGTCAAAACAACCACTCTACCTAGGAATATAATTGTAATTAGATAGACAGAGATTAATTAAGCTCCTTGAAAGCATCTCTACATAACCAGATGTAAAATGAGCACCGTAACAAAACGAAAGCATCTATCGACTACATAATCTGATGAACGAAAGCATCTCTACATCGGGATTCGCTACGAAACAAAACGAAAGCATCTATATTTTCAAACATCGACTACATAATCTGATGAACCAAAGCATCTCTACATTGGAATTCGCTACGAGAAGACAACGAACAAGTAGGTAGGGAAAATGAAGATCAAGATCAATGTATATCCAAACATAACTCAAGGCAAAAACTACAACAAATCATAGGAACCGAGCCAAGCCAATTTTCGATTCTAAACCTAATGAAGGTGATACAAACAAAATCCTCCTAAAGATTTGAGAGAAGAACTTACAAGACAACAGGAACAACGGTGAGAAATTTGCGATTACGTGTAAGCTGTTTGCCATTATCAATCTGTTCCCACCAAGTCAATCTATTATAGATTCCTTGATCATCACCAAACGGTGTTCCCTTCTTCCAATGAAACGAATGATACGTGACCTAGAAAAACTCACAAAAAATTCAAATCTAGAAATCGAACAAATCGGAAACTGAAAGAAACCAGATCGGAGATCGGAATAGTTACGGTGAAATGAGCGAGATGAACAATGGTCCAAGCGATGCCAGGAGAACAATGGAAGACGGAGAGAACAAGGAGCCAAGAGAAGAAGAGGATGAGAATATAAGTAGTCCAAACACCTGGATATGTGAACCACTCTGTGTTCCGATTCACATCCGTCGTCGGAAGTGCTCTTACGTACATCGTCTTTTCACCGGAGAGATTTGGAACAAGATCGGAGGAGATCGGAGATGATTGAGCAAGTTTTTTTTTCTTTCTTTAATTTTGTCTCTCTGCGTTTTTTGGGCTCTTTCTGGGCTTTTTATTTTCTTCGATTTTTTTAAAAAAGAAAAGCATTAAATTAAAATAGGAAGGTGGTTGGGTGGCTCACCGATCTTAGCCTAAAACAATGATTATCAGTAACTCTGTCTCAACGCGTCGCTCGATAAACCACGACGACTCATGTTTTTTTTTTATTGGACTTAGCTTTCATAGGCCCATTCTTGGTTCTTCTCGTATTTTCATTTTGATCAAAATAATAATCATATTAGGATATGACCCGCGGTACACCGCGGGTTAATTATTTGATTTTTTTATTTTTATAAATTGATGAATTTATTGTGTATAATATTTTTTGTTGTATACCTCGGGTCACATGCGTTGTATCTAAAATAAAAAATTTTAAGTTGTATTTGTTTTGTTTAGTGTTTAAGATTGTATAATTGTATTTTGATTTGTTATTTATAGGATTTCACCTGTGGTATATTGTCTCGTATTAATATTGACCCAAACCCGTCCAACCATATAATCTAAAATGAAATTAAACATCATTTTGTTATTTTTTTAATAACACTTTTATTTAAATGTCATATAATTCGAGTTAATTTGAAAGTTGCTTTCAAATAGTTTCCATGTATATTTTTAAATTAGTGTGTGTTTTTGGACCAACCCGTAAAAACAATTTATAATTGTATCTTAAAATACTAATTAGGATTTCACCCGTGATATACTGTCTCATTTTAGATAATTGTAAAAATTAAAAAAAGATCCGAATGACTCAATTTCGGGTCTGAATAAAATAACGACATGATTAAATGCTCAATTTGTTCTTAAAAATGTTAATATAGATTACACACATATTTTTATTCATCGATTGAGTAATATATGTTCGTTTTAAAAAATTTGAATTGTAACATATGCAGAAAAAAAAAAAACTAAAATTTACTAACTATTTATATATTTTATAATAATTTAAAATAATATAAATATAAGATCAAATAAAAGTGAAATGAGAATCATATATTTATGTTTAAATTAGGTAGAGAGGTTTTAGGAAATTAGTGCAAATTTGTTATATTAGCATTAAATCATAATATTTGATTTCTTTATCTATAAAAATCGTGGAGAATATACCATAAATAAAGCGTTTAAATATAGTAATTAGTTGAGAAAGTATATATATTTTAGATTTTATTAATTATTTTCGTTTTTTAATTTTGCCAAAATTTAAGGAAAGATCCGATTGAAGATTTCCGGGTCAAAATTAAACAAATTTGACCCGATTTGGGTACCCCAAAAACTGCTGCAAAAATGTATAGTAGATTTTGAGGGCATGACTAATTTAAACGCAGCTGTTGTGGAAGTTTGTGAAAGCGGACGATTGCGGTTTCAAGCGTTATTTAGTATTTTGACAGATTGGTTTAGCGGTCATGGCTGTACCTGAGCACAGTGAGGTGAAGCTGTTGTTTTGGGCCCCCAAAATTCTAGATATTTTTTTATTTACAAAATAGGCCCGAAATTTATTTTATTTTTGTAAAAAGGCCCCAAATTTTAGAAACGACTATAAAACCCTTAAAAAAATTTTAGGCCCCAAAGCCTGGTGAAAACTGGTGCGTTTGCGGAAGATTTACGACTGGTTGATCAGCGGTTACGATAAAGGTTAAACCAAAATTTATCAAAAAATTTTTGATATATGATTATAAAAATGTATAAAAACACCAAAAACTATAATTATGAAAAATTAAAAAAAATTGAACATGATTAATGATTAATAGCCATAAATAATTATTCAAATAATTTTTATATTGAAAACAAAAATAATTATTAAAATTGAAAAATTAAAATTAGATAAATTTTTTTTATATAATTATCGTGAATATATTTAAGACTTGATTATATATATTTTAATTTGTTCATTTTTATTTTTTTAGTTTCTTTCTTTTTTACAATGCACTGTAAACG